TATATATATATAATTAATGCAGATTTTAGAAAACACACCTTATTTCCAGCAACAAAAAGAAGCAAATCCTCTGAGTGCACAGCGGCAGTCCTGGATATTTCTGTTTCTACCAGTGAATAGTTGGCAAAAACAATCGGCTTGAACAGTGAGAGAATCACCTAAAAATGTAAAATAAAGAAACTTGAGTATGTTCACACTGCAGCACTCCAGTTAAAGCAATGTTACCTGGTTACCTGCAGTATCCTGCCATCAGAGGTGCCAAAATGTCCAACTGTGTGATTGCCGATTGTGCTGACCAGAACAGAGGTGAACAGGACATCCTTCATCTGGCTGTTGAAGATGTCCAGTCTGTAGTGTGGCTTTGACACCAGTGTGGGCTTGTTAGTGCACGTGTGATTCCCTTGAGAGCTCTGTACAAGTAGGAGAACCCCATTCATACCAAGTCAGCTTTAAGAACACATACACAATTAAGGTCACCTTGCCACTATACCAAAAATCATGCTCCTTATCACCTTGCCACTATCAGCTTTATGTTCTTTCTAAGTAGATAAATGCAGAATTTACATGAAGCAAGTTAAGAGGATGCATAAAAATAATAAACAGACTTTATTCCTTTATTTAAAAGGGTGAAGGGAGTGTTAAAACATCCACCAGCTATGCTTCCAGCTAATGTGTTTCGCCTGGAAATGAAACTAAACTTTATATATCCTGATGCATGCTCAATAATCCAGGTAGAAAAATCTAAAAAAGTTAAATCTGTTCCTCTGGACATTCAAAAAAAAACAAAACAAAGCAAATCAACAAAAAAAAAATGCAGAAACGTTTCGTCTCTCGTCCGAGAGACTTCCTCAGTCTGAGGTGCTGTATTCAGCTCAGACTCTTAAATAGCACCTTCTTAGAGTGGATCAACCAGTTTTGCTGCTGACAACCAAAACCAGCTGATCACATGCTCAAGAAGGACCATCAGCCTAACAATGGATCATTAGCACACTGATGGCTGTTTACTGTTCACAGAGGGCTGAGTGATACTAGCAATCACAGCATTGTAAGAGGGGGACAGTTGAACCCGGAGGCCTCCACCCCTGTTTAACGATGGACGGTTTCTTTTCACAAAGATGACCTCCTTTACTCCTCTCTCAAACCATCGTTCCTCTCTGTCCAGGATGTGAACATCTTCATCCCTGAAAGAGTGACCGCTGGCCTGGAGATGAGTGTAGACCGCAGAGTCCTGGCCTGATGATGTTGATCTTCTGTGCTGGGCCATCCTTTTGGCCAGTGGCTGTTTAGTTTCCCCGATGTAAGACTGATCACAGCCCTCCTGACACTGAACAGCATACACAACATTGCTCTGTTTGTGCCGGGGGACTGGATCTTTGGGATGAACCAGTCTTTGCCGTAATGTATTTTGGGGTTTAAAAGCCACTGGGACGTTATGTTTAGAAAATAAACGTCTCAGTTTCTCTGATACTCCCTCAACATATGGAATGACCACTGGTCTGGGTTCCTCCTTTTCACCTGTTGGCTGACTGGAGTCTTGTTTGGGTTTCTTCTCTGCTTTCAGGAAGGCCCAGTTAGGATATCCACATTGCTCTAGAGCCTGTCTTGTGTGGGATTTCTCCTTCTGCCTGGCTCCTGAGCTAGTGGGGACGCTAGTGAGGAAGTCTCTCGGATGAGAGACGAAACGTTTCTACATTTTTTTGTTGATTTGCTTTGTTTTGTTTTTTTTGAATGTCCAGAGGACCAGATTTAACTTTTTTAGATAAATCCCATTTGTTTGGTAGTTATGGTATACATCTACCAATCCATCCATCCATCCATCCATTTTCTTCCGCTTATCCGGGGTCGGGTTGCAGGGGTAGCAGCTTAAGTAGAGAGACCCAGACTTCCCTCTCCCCAGCCCATTGTACAGCCCTCCTACAATGCTGTTATTGCTAGTATCACTCAACCCCCTGTGAATAGTAAACATCCATCAGTGTGCTAATGATCCATCGTTAGGCTGATGGTCCTTCTTGATCATGTGAGCAGCTGGTTTTTGTTGTCAGCAGCAAACTGGTCGATCCACTCTGAGAAGGTGCTATTTATAAGACTGAGCTGAATACAGCACCTCAGACTGAGGAAGTCTCTCAGATGAAAGATGAAACGTTTCTACATTTTTTTGTTTGGCTTTGTTTTGTTTTTTGAATGTCCAGAGGACCAGATTTAACTTTTTTAGATTTTTCTACCTGGATTATTGAGCATGCATCAGGATATTCAACTTAGCAGTTTCTATTAATGAATGGTTGGTGTTGCAGAGCCCTTTATAGCTACAAACCAGATTCCAAAAAAGTTGGGACACTAAACAAATTGTGAATAAAAACTGAATGCAATGATGTGGAGGTGCCAACATCTAATATTTTATTCAGAATAGAAACAAACAAACCACAGATCAAAAGTTTAAACTGAGATAATGTATCATTTTAAGGGAAAAATCTGTTGTTTCCAAATTTCATGGCGTCAACAAATCCCCAAAAAGTTGGGACAAGTCCATTTTTACCACTGTGTGGCATCCCCCCTTCTTCTTACAACACTCAACAGACATCTGGGGACAGAGGAGACCAGTTTCTCAAGTTTAGAAATAGGAATGCTCTCCCATTCATGTCTAATACAGGCCTTTAACTGTTCAATCGTCTTGAGCCTTCTATGTCGCACCTTCCTCTTTATGATGCACCAAATGTTCTCTATAGGTGAAAGATCTGGACTGCAGGTTGGCCATTTCAGTACCCGGATCCTTCTTCTACGTAGCCATGATGTTGTGATTGCTACAGAATGTGGTCTGGCATTATCGTGTTGAAAAATGCAGGGTCTTCCC